AAATATAATAAATAATATTTTATTTACAAAAATTCTAAATTTCTAGAATTTATAGTAAAATAAAATATTATTAAAAACTAGATCTAAGAATATCTATGAAAAATCTATAGAAGTAAAGTTTTGACATTTTGGCATTTTAATTATTAAGACTAAAAAGTTATAGTTTCATCATATGACTAAATGTTTTAGTTTTATTTAGCATCATTAATTCCTGCTACACTTGATATTTATGTTTTTTTTTCATTATGAATTATTTGAAGAATATATTAAAATAATATTTTACCTTTAAATATTTGCATTAAAATGGAAAAGAAAAATTATAATAAAGTACTATTATTATTTTTATTTGATTATTTTTATTGAAAAGTTAATAAACATTTAATAGTCTAAGCATTAAAATTATACCTTGTAAATTTAATAATTAATTTATTGAAAATCTGTATAGTAAAATAAAAATAAATACAAATACATACAATAATATTAAGAATAATTAAAAAGAATAAGAGGGAAAAGACGATGATAGGTCGATTCAAATGGGTTTGAAATATAACCACAAGTACTCAGAATAGCTTGTTTTTCTTATTAATAAAACCTTTAACAGATCGTCGAAAAAATTGCCATGTTTATTTATTATTACGAAAGAATTGTTAAATAAAATGACGTTTTTCTCGCGATTACCATTAGTCATTTAATCACATGATTAATAAGTTTGTTATTTAAATAAATCACTTGCTTTTTTTATTTCTCTATTCATAATGTCTCGACATCGCGCGATTCGAAACTTAACTGCCGAAGGTAAATTGTTTTATTATGAAATTCTTTAAACATAAATTGATCAATTCTATTTTCAGCTGTCCTTGCGGAATCCGAGTATTATCACGACGATGAATATTTTGATTATGAAGGTATTTAATAAATTTATGCTTGGCTGTATTTGATCTATTAAATTAATTAAATTCCTTTCGATTTAAAAATTTAAGATAATAGTGAATTGTCCCAAGGAGATAAAGGTATGACACTTAATTTATATCTAGTAAATTGTTAATTTTTAACTCATATGAGATATAAGAGGTATTTATCAGTACTATAAAAAAACCATAGCCAAAATGGATAATGGGAAGAAAATAGTTAGAGATGTTATTGGACAAGTAGATGAAATCTCTGATAAAGATATTGAAGATGCTTTATGGTATTACTATTACGATACAAAGGATACAATAACATACTTATTGGGTATTTAACTATTGATCTAATAACTCATTTAAAATTTTGAGAAATCTATATTTAATTTATTTGTTTTATAGATGAACTTCATAAATCTAAGAAAAAGAAAACAATTTCACAAAACAAATCAGATTCAAATAAATCTAAACTTACAAAGAAAGGTGAATTTTTTAATTTTGGTTTATTTTTGAAATGATGGCGGTTCAACTATTAGATTTGATAATGAAATATATTTCCTGTCATTGAAATTGACAAACAATATAAAGGAAAAAAAAAAGAATTTCTGAAAGCGAATATAGTAAATAATTTCTTTAGTCAATCAATTTAACCGAGAACCTTCTCGGCTTAATATTCTCAAAATCAACAGATCTATTATCTAATATGGATCATCTTATTAATGGAAATCGATATCTGAGCCCTTTAAACTTTTATGCAAATCAGCAAAACCTTGAACACCATTATTCACTTGGAATAAGGAAAAGAACTGCTTTAACAAATTGTGTTTCCTTTAATGACATTTGGTCAGGGCACAATGTTAAATGGTGTAGTCTCGCTCAAAGTAATTTAAAGATTACAGAAAGTTCGATTTGTGAATTACGGAAGCATTCACTTCATGGCGGGTTACTAGGTGGAATGGACTCTGAAACAACTCAATCGAGACTCTCTAGTTTGCGTAGTCAGTTGGGTTCCACTAAGACGAATACTAAGTCTTTATCAAAGATGGCTTCAGATAGAGCAACAATTGAACAAAATCGTCCCTCTGTTGGAATTAATGATACATCCAACATAAGACAGTTCTCTCTTTCAAACATCGGGATAGGTTCTTCAGGACCATCATTGTCATCCCTGGCTCATTTGAGTGTAAAACAATCCACGAGACCAACATTATCCAGTTTGGCTACGAATACATCAAAATTAGGTTCAGAGAATGTTACAAGATCTCAAACCTCTTCTAGCTTGATAAACAGTCAAGCTCCGTCCTTGTCTTCTATGGTTAAAAACTCGACTTCACATTCTTCTGGACGTGTTTCTTTTACTGGTCTTGCATTAAATCGTACTACGTCTCAATCTTCAGTCATAATAAATTCAAAGCAACAGACTTCATCGGTTTCAACAATTTTAACAAATAAATTAAATAATAAAGTTCCTTTGCAAGAAACATCGACCCCTATAAAACCCTTAACATCTGATACAAATAGTAGCGAAATGGTGAGACAAGAGCCTCAACTTATAACAAATGATTTAACACAGAATAAGGAATTCGTACATTCATATTCAAATATTCAATCAGTATCAAACCCTCTTGTCGCGCCGCCATCCATTTTCGCTACTTCCATATTCGCACCACTTCAAGATACTATTTCGTTTTCTAATGATTTAATTACTTTTGAACTTTACACAGCGGGTTTAAATAATAATGGGTTTTCTTTTGATGATCCAAGTCCTGATGATATTGTCAAAAAAGCACAGAGCCATAGAGGAACTGGAGTACCAAAAGGTATTTTAATTTCCGGTCGGATGTCAGATATTTCTATTCGAATCCTTGTTTTTAAGTAAGCTTATCTTTTGATAGTTAAGGACATGATAGTTAAGGACAGAAATGTTACAACGATGTCAGCAACTTCTGTTAAATCTACTTCAAAACAAGAATCGTCAACACAGAAGACACAGAAAAAACAGAATACACCATCGAATGCACCAAAATCATCTCACTCAACTAATTTAAACAATGCTATTAATGGCCCTGATGATATTGTTTTGAAGACACAGAGTCAAAAGGATACTGGTATACCAGCATCACATTTTAATAATTCCGCCGAATATTTTGAATAATTGTTTATAAAATATTTTTTTTATTTCTGTTTTGATAGGCGACAAACAAAATGATTTTTTGACGTTGGAACTACAAGATAATGATATTATCGAAGATTTAGATGACTATGAAGATGATGAGCAACTAAGATTTGATATGGATGCACTCAATCTTGGTTTAGAAGATAAATCAGCTAACTATCCTAAGACAGCAACATCTTTTAAGTCTCTTGAAAGTCAAGAATCATTATCTACAAGAACGACATCATCAATTACATCAAAATCATCAATAAAAACAATACCTAAGAATAAACGTATTGATGTTATTGAAGAGTATAAGAAACGGAGTTCTGATAAGGTTTCGTTAAATTTAGTGATTATTGGTAAGTATATTTTCAATATAAGATATTTAAGATTTCCATTTGTTACATATCAAATTAAATGAATAATAAATAAATAAAGGTCATGTTGATGCTGGAAAAAGTACACTAATGGGTCATTTATTGTATTTACTTGGCGAAGTCAATGAAAAGACCATGAGAAAGTATGAAAGAGATTCTTCAAAAATTGGAAAGTCTTCTTTTGCATACGCATGGGTTCTTGATGAAACAGGTGAAGAAAGATCAAGGTATGATAGCTTATATAAATTCAAAATATGTTATATAAGTGTATTAAAATTACTCTCAATGATATAGAGGTATTACTATGGATATTGCAATCACAAAATTTGAAACCGAGCATAGGCGATTTACATTGTTAGATGCTCCCGGACATCGGGATTTTATTCCTAACATGATTTCGGGTGCAGCTCAGGTATGAAATTAAAAAAATGTACGTTTTTTTTTGAAGAAAAGCAATTAACATTTTATATTAGGCAGATGTTGCTATTCTTGTGGTTGATGCCACCACCGGTGAATTTGAAGCTGGATTCGATGCAAATGGTCAAACAAAAGAACACGCTTTGCTTGTTAGAAGTTTGGGCGTTCAACAATTAATCGTTGCGATAAATAAATTAGATGTTGTAAGCACATTATAAATTTTTTTGAAAAAGGCGTACATATATAAAAAGATTTGTCTTAATTTCTTATCGTCTTACAGGTAAATTGGTCACAAGATAGATATAAGGAAATCATGGCCAAATTAAATCCATTTTTGACTCAAGCTGGATTTAAAAAGGACAAAGTAATATATGTCCCTTGTAGTGGATTGACTGGGGAAAATCTGTTAAAGAGGTCTGAAAACGTATTGGAATGGTATTCTGGGCCTACATTAGTTGAACAAATAGGTTCGTAAGCTTACAAAATTAAACGATTATTCTTTAAACTATTAACTAATTATATCACAATATGTCTATAGATCAATTCGAACCTCCTATACGGCTTTTAGAAAAGCCATTCCGACTTTCTGTTTCGGATTTTTTCAAAGGAGGAATAGGGAGCATGGGCGGTGTTACTGTTGCTGGGAGAATAGAGGCGGGAAATATTCAGATTGGCGAAGGTGTCACGGTAATCCCTGGTGGAGAACATGGAGTTGTAAAAGGTAGGATTATATATATAATTATTTGTATTTTATAGTGATTTTATATTTTCAATCATGGCCTTTTTTTTAGGTTTGGAAGTAAATAATTCGTCTTCAAAATGGGCTGTAGCAGGGGATTCTGTTTTAATGACATTAGCTGAATTGGACATTATTCAACTCAAGTAAGATATTCCATTAATAATATGTTTATATTAAATAATATTCAGTTATTTATTTTTTATGTAGGATTGGGTCTATTCTATGTTCAATTTCACATCCGGTTCCTGTGACATCACATTTTTTGGCACAGATCGTTGTATTTGAAATTATTAAAGTTCCAATCACAAGAGGATTTCCTGTAAGTTTCAAATTTCAATATTTTATAAATTATTTTTTATTCCTTCATTTAATTGGTATTTTGTATATTTATTATATTTAGGTTATACTTCATAGACAAAGTCTTAATGAGCCAGCTATTATCACAAAATTGATATCGATCTTGGATAAAAGTACGGGGGCAATTTTAAAGAAAAACCCTAGGTAATAATTTATATATTTCGTTATTATGTTTATTATGTTTTAAGATTAACACATAATAAATTATTTTTAATAATTAAATAGATGTCTTGTTAAATCATCAAATGCGATTGTTGAAATTGAACTTTCTAATAGACCAATTCCTCTAGAAACTTTTAAGGAAAATAAAGAATTAGGAAGAATTATGTTAAGAAAAGGTGGAGAAACAGTTGCTGCTGGTATTGTTACTAATGTAAGTATATTATAAACCATTTTTATTAGATGTTTTTGATATCTTTATATATTTATTCCTAATCTATCTTTATTATATTAAAAAATTAAAAATAAAGATTACATAATAAAATAAAAATTATTTATATTTAAAAATATCTTTTTTTTTTTAATTTTATAATTTTATTTAATAAAAAAATAATTGTAAAATTTAATTTTAAATAATTTAAAAATAAAATCATTATATATTTTTTATTTTATTTATATTTATATTTATTTAATTTTTTTATTATATAAATATAAATTAGATAAATTAAAATATTAAATAAAATATAAATTAAACAAGTTTGTTATTTATCATCATAGGTAAAAATTATTAGTGGTTTAATAATATAATATTGTGATTGAATTACATAATATTTAGAATTTTAGATTGAATTTAATATTTCAGATTTAAATTTTATTTACATAAATAAGGTTATTTCAAATTAATAATTAGTTTAACATCTTTTTTTCTCAAATAATTGAAGGGGATGAAGGTATAATTTAAACAAACTCATAAAATAAACATATATTTTTACATAAAAGAAATTAATTTTTTATTTATTTATTTCTTTTTCTCTTATATTAATTTTCCTCTTATTGGTTAATTATAACCTTTTATTTACAAACTTCATAAAAAAAATATATTGTTTAATAAGTTTTTATCAAATTTTCATCTAGTTCTAACAATCCATCTTTTTCATTACAATAATAACAAATAATTTCTATTTTCAAACATTTACATGAATAATATATTAATTCTACTGATATTTTGCAATTAATTTTTTGTTTAATAAAAATGATATTAAATAATGAATGATTTTCATAAACAATAAGTGATTTATAATGATAAACTATGTATTCAATTAAATTTTTAAGTTGTAATTTTTAAGAACATTTTTGCTAAATATACATTTTGGCTTATTACAGTATGTACAAAAAATAAAATTATGAATATGATTATTATTAATAATACTAATTAAAATAGTTTTTTTTGAAGAATTGGATAAACTTAGTAAATATTCATTAGTTTTAGTTTCATATAAATCATTAAAATCTTTATAATATTGTGAATCTAAAATATTCAACATTTTAGTTTATAATTTAAAAATAAATCAATTTTTCAAAGATATAAAATTTATATTAATACTAATTATTGAATCCAAAATAAAATGCAATTCACTAAAGATTTATTTTGGTAATTATATTAGCAAACAAAAATTAGATTTGGATTTGTTACATTTTTTAATCTAAAATAATCAAAAAAATTAGAATTAAAATAACTGAAAAATAATAAATTTCATAAATTTGTATCTACTTAAAAATTATATTTGTAAATATAATAATAGATTTTAATAAATTCTTAAAGAATTTCATGCTTATTTAATGCATTTAATAATATTTTATATAATTCTAAACTTTCATCAATTTTATAAATTTTCTATGTATTAAAAATAAAATAAAATTAGGAATTATTATATAAAATAAATAATATTCTTAAAATAATCCTTATTTCAAATAATTTATCAATTTGCATTTTATAAATGAATTTATAATACTAAAAGTTTTTTTTTAAGTGATAGCTATGTAGTTCTTTCTTTTAATAAAGATTGTATTTTTTTAATAGATTTTCGTAATTAAATTGCTAACTGTTTATTTTCTTCAGTTATTAAGTGAATCTTTTCTAATATATTTTTACTTTTAAATATATCTTTTAAGATATCATCTATTTTATTACATTCTAATAATAATCCTTATAATACTAAATTTAATATTGATATTATACACTTAGCAGAATTCATCTAGCTATGATATAGTACAATTCTAACAATAGCTAAGAAATTAAAATTATCACAAAAAAATAAATAAATCAATGAAATTTGTATAAATCTAAATATTACTCTATAATCAGGATCACCATCTGTATACAATAAAAGTATTTCAGATATATTTTTTTGATATTACTTTATGATAATATTATAAATTTAGTAGCATATCATATTTCTGTATTTGGTTAAAAAGTTGTATTCTTGTATAATACATAAACTTATCTATAATAAAAAGATTTATTAATATTTTTCAGTATATCTATAAGTAACATAACTGATAGCATTAATGATAATTTTATATAATCATGATCTGATAATATTAATTTTATATTTAATGATACAAGTGATTTTTTATTATAAACTTCAATTAAAGTTAATTCCTTTTTTAATAGCTATTTTGTATTTATTATTTGCACAAATAAATGAAATATATTTTTGAAATTTTATCAAAAATAATCTTATATACTGAAAAAGTACTGCATAATAATATGCATCTGGATAAAATTTTGATAATTATCATATTTGAACTTTATATTTTATATCAAATCTTTCAATATATTATGAAGCAGTTTATGTAATAGAATTTTTAAACTAGAATTAAAGTTGAATCTATCATATATAATTAAAATAATCTGATATTTAAAATTAATAAATTAATATTAAAAATATCAATTTTAAATAATTAGAATATAATTATTACTATATTACTTCATTAAAATAATCTTTCATCCCAAAAATATTAAATTTTATATCTTTAAATCTATTTACTCTCAAATCTAAAATAATTTCTGAATTTTTAAATCTAATACAGTTTGAATCTGATCTTGCATTTCTTTTATTAATTTATTTAATAATAATGATGAATTTTTAGACAAATCTTATAATAATCTATTCTAAATTGATGTGTTATGACTGAGTGTCAATCTTAATGATCATAGATCTATAATTGTGTGACAAAGTACAAATGTCAATAATGTTAAATATATTTAACATGTCTAATATGTTTAATATAGCTAATATATCTACATAGTTAATATAATAGATATAGTTAATATAATTAATATAGTTAACATAGTTAATATATTAGATATATCAAAATATGTAATAGAATAGATATAAATACAACTCCTTTGTCAATTAGAAAAAAAAACCAACAGCTGTATAGAACCTTTCTCTTGTAAAAGATAGCACAATGCTACTTTTTTCCTCGTGTATCTCTATTTCTTATTTCTCTTTTCTTATTTTTTTCATATATCATTATCTTATTATTTCCTTTTACTTTAATAAAAGTATTTCTTATTTCTTATCTGAAACTCTTCTTGGACTATTGTGATAACTCTTAACTTATGATTGAAACCGTTCATATCTAATAAACTTGATTTAACTTGATAAACTAGTAGCAAATTAGCTAAAGTTAACGTAAACTAACTGGAATTATTACATAGACTATAAAATAGTCAACCTTTTGACATCATATCTAATAGTTGCAACCTGAAAGATTACACATTAATAGTATTAATTTTGCAATTAGACTGTACTATAAAAGAAAGATAATCTGTTAGATACATTATAATTAAATTAATTAAAACTTTCTTATACTAATCTTTTCAATTACATTTTTTTCATTTATCTTGTAAAAAATATTAGCATCATTTTATTTACTAATAAAATTAATTGAGCTTCTTTTGTTTTACTTCTATTATCAAATCTGATAATTTTTAAATAAAATTTAAATTTTTAAATAATTCTTATAATAATACTAATATAAAGTAAATGCAAAATCAACTTTCAAATTTAAAATAAATTTATAACTTTATACTTATTATTTAAAAGATAAATATCAAGTAAAATTAATTTATAATAATCAGAATTATGAAGTTTTAAAGAAATATCATTATATTTTTTATTAAAAATTTCTTCAATTTCTCATATTTTTATTAAAATATTATCTATTTTATTACAGATAAAATTTATACTTAAATAATTTTCTTTAATACTCTAATTTACTACTTCTAAATACTTTATATACTTTTTTATACTATAACATAGATCAAGCACCAAAGAGATAAATTGTTTTTATTTCTATATTAGCTCAAGATTAAAATGTATATGACTCAACTTATTTAATATATTTATCTAACTTTTCTATAGATAATTATTCTTTTTTATATTTTCCAATAAAATAAAATTTGTTATAATTGAAATTGATTTTATATTTTAATAAATTTAAAAAATATTTGGTAAATTGCACCTACAATCTTTTATTTTGCATAATGTAGATTAAGATATCATAATAAATCAGTAAATAATTAATAAATTGATTTTCAAAAGTTTTGTATATTTCTTCAAACTATCCTAGCATATTTCATTATAAAATCTGTAATATGTTATTAAATAAAAGGTCTCATCTTATTGATAATTTACATGTTATTAGAAGATAAATTTTTTTACTATTTATAATTAATACTAATAAAGGATTAATACATGATACATTCAGTGATAAATCAGGTTCAATATCTTCAAAGTCTTCTAAAATATATTTAATTTGGCATGATTCAAAACTTTTACAAAATAATAAATTCATGTTAGCTTTTTAATATTAGTATAATATTTTATTATTACATTATAAATTATACAAATATTATTTAATCATTAATTTATAGACGCTTTGCAGTAGAAAGAAAGAAAACTACCAAAAAAGTTTTTTTACTTTTTAAGCTAAATATTATTTTTTTAGTAAAATAAATCTGGATTTAACATTAACTCAAAAAAAATTTTTTTTGGTAGTTTTCTTTCTTTTTACTGCAAAATATTTATATAATCTAATATTTCACTCAATAAGTTTTTAAATTTTTATTTTCTTCAATATCTATTGCATTTTTTTGTAATAATTTATTATATTTATAAATGACAATAATGAAATATATAATGACATAAATATAGTTAATGATTGATTAAAAAAAGGTTAAATTATAGATCAGAATCGTGTAATATATGATCTAATTTTTACCAAAAGATACGTGTTTAATACATAATAATTATTTTATAGAACTTCAAGTGTAGCTGAAAAATATTTTATAGTAATTGTTTGTGATTTAAATTAAAATTATAAAATTATAAAATTATATATAGCCATATAATAAATATTATGTTCATTTAAATTTGA